TCTTTTATTTTATTTATATTTATCATGGAGGGAGTATAGGAGCATAAGGCCTCTTATGCAGAAAATCGACAGAGCGCTCCATTCCACCCCTCTCTCATCTTGCATACCCTTTTTGGCCTTACAGCTCATGACATAAAACCGTAGTGGATAAAACAGGGTGATTAATGGAGAAGGGAAGGGGACCCGAAAGAAACTTTGTACCCCCCGATAAAATTCCTTTCAGAGGCCCTGGTGAGGAGTGTGGCGTGAGCAGTCTGAGTTTCCTTATATTATTGTATTTTGGCATTTAAGAGTCAGGCTTTCCACTTCTGGGCAGATTTTTGAGAATTTTCTAGAGATTTATTTGGTCTTAGTAAGGTTTTTTGTGAGATTTTTCTTTCACAATTTTTTGTTAAAAATCTTGTTAAACAGTTTACATTGTAATTTAGAGTTTTATTTTACATTAATATTGTATGCATTATTTTAATTTATAATTTAACTCTCTTTCTTAAAAAGAAGGGGGCTTACACTGGTAAGAAAGAACAATCTATTTTCAAATTTGTTTCTCTTGTCAGTTCAATACATCCACTCTAAACACTTGCCTTTGTTATGTATTGTGTTTGCCTTCATTTGTTTTTGCTAATAAAGATTGTTGTTTGATACAGTTTGTGTATTGATTTTTTTCTTGTTGATGATCTCAGTCACTTCAGAAAATAATGAATCAATATTCTGTGACGTAATATTAATAGAATCTCCAGTTAAGTAGACCTTAAGTATTGTTTTCACTAAATCCGCGAACCCAAAAATACCACAACACAGCAACTAGTGAATTAGTTCACCTATCTACCCAAAGAGAGAGAACACCCCTAGTGACAAGACTGAAAATGATGATGAAAGACAAGAGCTTATCCAATCTCAGTACCGTTAACCACAGAAGAGAAAGCAAATGTATTTTATGACAGGACAATCTAGACACTAAGTCAGTAAAGAATGAAATACTGCCTTTATATATATATTGATGATGATTCAATAATTGTGATTTTAGATAAATAAATATTAATGTTGATAATTAAATATAAAAAGTGATTTCATTGTTAATTATGGAATTTTAATGTAATTGTTGCGTCAGCGAGTCACGTGACTACTGTGACGCAACGTTTCTAGAACTATCACGTACTTTGGCGAATGCTCTAGTAATTACTAGATATAGGGTAGGCTGGTATATAAAAGAGGGGAATGTAATGTGTGTATAGACAGTGAGTAATTGAACTGCAGTCAGAGAGCACGAGAGACGTTA